GCCCCGGAAGTCCTTCCTGAGATCTAACCTCATTCATACCTGCTTACTGCAGCCAGCACCCTTTGGGCACAGGGACCTACTGTGGTTTGGAGGAGGCTGAGGAGGAGCGAAAAGTAAAGAGATGGGGTTGGGGGGAATGGGGTGGAAAGTCTGAAGACAAAGTTCCTGGGATGGGGAGGCAGAAATAAAAGGGGCTGGAAGGAAAAGTTGGGGTGTTAGGGGGCTGACTGAGGCCCCTCCCCATCCCTTCTCCAAACGCAGGCCTTGCCTCTCCTGCTTTTCCATCTGGCCCAGGGCTCTTGCCATCTGGCCTTACCTTCCTCCCCACGGTGGTGCTGTCCATGCTCTCTGGCTCTCACCTGACCCGGCCCCTCCTCCTGCCACCAGCAATCCCCCTTCCTGGCTGGTCAGGATTGGGGGTGGCTGCAGGGGGCTCTAAGCCTCATCCCTTTGATACAGGGGATTAGAGCTGGAAGAGGAGACAGCCTTCGAGGGGGCCCTGACCTCCCAGCAACCGCCATCTGGTGAGACTACTATATATGGAATGAAGCAGGAAGGCCCGGGGTCAGACAGTGGAGGGACTTCCCACCTGGAGACAGAGCCAGGGGCATAGGGTGGGACCCTTGGAACCTTAGCTCCATCCTGGAGCTGTGAGTTTGGCTTTCTAGGCACCTCCATGACTGCCTTCCCTCCTTTCTTGACCTTTTGGGGTTTTTTTCTTCAGGGGTTGGTTCCAAGTCCTCCTCCTAACCCCAGCCTATCACAGAGGCCTGTAAGGCCCTGCCCACCTCTCCTTGTCAGCTCTCTCCAGCTCCCGCCTGCTCTCTAGTCCCTGCTCCCTTGGGCCTCCTGGCTCAGCCTCTAATGCACTCAGTGCCTGCCCACCACGGTCCTCCCCTCAGGTTATTCCCCCTAAACTTCCCACACCTGGGGAACACTGTGGGGAAGCCCTGGGAGGCCCCAGGCTAAGGTCCCTGGCAGTCCGGGCTCACTCACAGCCCTCCTTTCCTGTAAAAACATGATTAACCGATTAAGTTACCTGCCGTGCTATTTGGTTAGTTGATTCGCTCACCATTTTATCCCTAGGACCTCACACACAGGAGGCGCACCGTAAAAAGTGTTCCCGTTATACCTTATAAAACCAAACAAAAGCAAAAAAAAAAAAAAATACAGCTTCCTGGACATTCCCTTAAACTTTCTCCAGTTGGGCTTGGGGGCCAGGGGAGGGTCAGGTCAGCTCCTGTTGAGGAAACACCCCTCTGGGTGGGGGAAGGCTGGAGGCCAGGAGGCTGGGGATGAGGTTGTGGTGAGGAGAGGGCGAGGAAGGGGAGAGGGCGAGAGGAGAGGGCAAAGCCTGAGCCAGGACTGGCTGACACAGAGAGGAGAGGAGGACAGAGAATGGGGAAGGAGGGCAGGAGGGCCTGGGCTCCAGTGGACTGTGGGGATGAGCCAGGACAGCCCAGTGGCCAGGAGGGAGGGATACTGGGAGGAAGAACAGGTTTGGGGGCAGCTAAGGTGCTGCCTCATCTTGGATGTGACGGAATCGGGGCTATGAGTGAGGGCCAGCTTTTGCTCAAGGTACCAGTGAGCAAAAGGCCTTTCACTTGGATGTAATTGTAGCCCCAGGAGTAGATGACATGACCCACAACAAATGTGAGGGCGAGGCTACCGGAGGCCAAGCCCGAGTTCTGGGGTGGCCCAACACCTAAGGTCACCGGGGAGCCCACCACCCTGTCTGTCTTCCCCAGGATGCCCAGAAGCTGAGGAGCCAGCCAACCTGGAGAGCTTCGGAGGCGAAGACCCCAGACCTGAGCTGTACCTATTCTCTCCCCCGCTGCCCTCCAGCCTCCATGTCATAGGGCTTGGGGTCCTTCGGGAGTGGGTGAGGGATGGGGGGAGGGGTGCTGTGCTGATGGCTCCAGGAGAGCGGGGCAGTCTCTCTCCTGTTTCTCTCTCTCCAGAAGAACCTCATGTCCCCACCACCCCCACCCCAACCTGGGAAAGGAGGTCGGAGCTGTGGCCAGTGACCTGCCCCTCCCTGACCCCAGGCCCGCCACAGCTGACCTGCTGAGCAGCCTGGAGGACCTGGAGCTCAGCAACCGCAGGCTGGCCGGGGAGAACGCCAAGCTCCAGCGCAGCGTGGAGACAGCGGAGGAGGGATCTGCGCGCCTCGGGGAGGAGATTGCAGCCCTGCGCAAGCAGCTTCGCAGGTGGGCCGGCGCACCTGTGTCCCTCCTGACCAGGCTTTCCTCCCCCACCCTCACCCCGCCCCCCGTCACTCTCCTCTCCACATGCTCTCTCCGTACCTCCTGCCCTGTCTTCAACCCTGCACTGTCCCTTTCTCTTTTGCTCTTTTTCTTTTGTGTCTCCCTAGTTCTTGTCTCTTGGCCTCTTGGGTTCAGACTTCCCTCTTCATTTTTCTCTGAGTCTCCCTATCAGCAGCCTATCCCTTTCTCTATGCTCCTGTCCATCATGATTCCCCTATTTTAGTCCTCCTGCTTTCTCTGGGTCTCTGTCCCACCCCCTTAGTCTTTTAGGTAGAAACTGGGTCTCTGTGCCCCACCCCCAGGTCTCTGTTACTTCCAGCTCTGAGTGGATCTATCTCTATGGTCTCTGTTTCCCTCCTGCGTGGCCCATCTGCCCCGCCCCCACTCAGTACCCAGCAGGCTCTGCAGTGTGCCAAGGCTGTGGATGAGGAGCTGGAGGATCTGAAGACTCTGGCCAAGAGCCTGGAGGAGCAGAATCGCAGCCTCCTGGCCCAGGCCCGACAGACGGTGGGTTCTGGGCAAGGGGCACGAAGGTGCCTTCTCCCTTTCTTAAAGAGTCTGAGCAGCGGTGTCTGACTGTGAAATGGGAAGGTGCAGAGGTTACCCTGGCTTCCTCCCTTCCTCCAGGTCCTGCTTGCTCCTGACCTAGGGCTCAGATCGATTTGCCATCCCTTTTATGACAAAGGGGACAGCAGGAGCCATCAGGGCTCCCAGACCCCTTCTCCCAGCCTTGCTCCTTAATGACCCAGACCCGAGATGTGTTCCCAGGTGGGGGAGAAGGGCAATATGGGGGCAAGGAGGTCCTAAGAAAGCCTTTGTCCTCTTTCGCGGCTGCTCAGGAAAAGGAACAGCAGCATCTGGTGGCCGAGATGGAGACTCTGCAGGAGGAGGTGAGCTGAGGCCCAGTGCCCACCCCATCCCTTCCCCGGTCCTCAGGATCTTCCCCTCCCCGCCCCGTCTGCCCCAGACATCCTCAGTAGCCTGCACCCACTTATTCTTTCAGTCTGTAGAGGGAGACCCCAGAATCCCAATAACATATGAATGTTTCTGAAGGTCACATCACTGCATGTGAGGACTGCTATGGTTAGTAAGAGTGAGGGGCGTGGGGCGGACTGCCTGGGTCCATGCTGGAACTGCCTCCATAAGCATGGGTCAGTCTATTGCTTCTCTGTACCTCAGTGTCCTCACCTGTAACAATGGGCAAAATAATAGAATCTCCCTCACTGGGTTGTGTGAGATTTAAACAAAAGGATGCTTATAGAGTATTAGGTATGAGGCAGGACCACTGGAAGTGTTCACTGAAAGTTAACCAGTATTGTTCATATATTAGCATTTTTATGGTGGAAAGAATACAGGCCTTGAAATCAGCGAGTTCAAATCCCATCTCTGCCACTTACAAGATGGGCCACCTTTAGGCATGTGACTTCTCCTTCCCGAGCCTTTGTTAAATCCAGATCCATCTAGTCATCTTAGATGGAAATGAAACTCATCAATTGATAATGAAAATGGTCACTACCCCCCACAAGATGGCATCAAAGTTGCTGGAGACCCACACAGCATCTCAGTGCTCCAGGAGGTGGCGGTCCTCGCTCAACATCTGCTCTCTCTGCTGGTCACAAGATTGATGTTCATCATCCCATCTGGTCCTCGTCCTTAGTCACCACCACACGCTGGCATCCACTGGGAGGCGGGCATTGCCTCTGGTGTCTGGATGTCCAGTCCTCACTGCACCTGCTGGTGGTGGCCCTCTGGACCCCCCAGCACATGGGGGCCTCTGGGGCTCTCCCTCAGCCACTTCCATACCCTTCAGGGGCCAAAGAGGAGGCTTGGCTACTTCCCTGAGACTCTTTGTGGCCATAGGGGGCCTCGTGGGTCTCTCTCAGCCTCTGGTTCTCACACAGCTATCTCAATTCTGTTATTCACAGGCCTTGTTGGGGCTGAGACTGAGCTGAGAAATGCTCTCTGATTCCCAGACCTCCCAGGGGTTGTGTTGTTCAATAGCATCCTTACTCTTCACCCCCCACCTTAGCTAACCCGGGGCTGGGGGCTGGCTCAGGGCATGTTTCCCCTCTACTGCTCTCTTTTTTGACCCTCCTGCACCCCTCCCCTGACGTAAAGATCTTTGCTGAGTCCAGGCAATGATATTGATTCTGCCCGATCCCCCCAAATCTCTTTGTCCTACATCTGTATTGTAGCTTTTGTATTCAAATCCAAAACTTCTCCACTATTGTTCTCTGGCTCTTCCATGAGCGTTCCATCATTTGGAACAGTGGGAATTGCCACAAGATGGCTGCCACAATGTGAGGCATGGGGTGTAGCCAGGAAGTAACTGTTTCTTCCAGAACATCACTTTTTAAGAACAGGGAGAAATTCTCCCTAAAGCCCCATGGCAGAACCTCCCTCTTCTATGTTACTGGACAAAGTGATATCATATGATTATAGCCAAACCACTCCCTGGCATGGGTAATCCAACCGCTGATGGGCCAGAATACTTACAGCTCCAAGGAAGAGAACACAGAAGAAATGGTGGCTTCAATCCAAAGGGCACTCATTTCTGTAACAAGAGGCTTTGAAGGTCTCTGGATTGGTTTGGTGATTCAGGCTTGTTCATCTGCTTGTGGCCTCGTGATCACAGATGGCTGCAGCAGCTCTGCCCTCACGGTCTCATCCAAATCAGGACAAAGAGGGACAGGGGAGCCCAGCTAATGCTTCTCCCATAGCTCTCTTTTCATCAGAAGGAAAAGGCTTCCCAGGAGCACCCCCACTGTACCCACCACCCCAGCATACCTCTCTTCCATCTCGCTGGCAAGAACTGGATCGCATGACACCCCCAGCTGTGAGGGAGGCTCAGCCTCTGGAGTGGGAGATGAACAAGTCAGAGGGGGTGACAATGGCTGCTGGGTTAGCTAACAAGCCACTTCTGAATCCTCCGAGATTTCCATCTCATTCACCCCAGACCAGGACCCACCTGCCCATGTGGAGAGTGGACCCCCAATGAAAGCAGAAGAAAGAATAAGCAGGGTGAATTGCAGCCAGAAGTCTGGGCCTCCTCCCAGCCCAGAAGGCCCACTGCCAGGTAAAGTGCCTTGAGCGGTGCCTGGGGCATCCTAGGCGCTCGATAAACCAGAGCTATTCTTGGTTGCTTCCCCTCCACCTATCCCCTCCCCTCGGCAGCCTACAGAGCATCTATAGATCGAGTTCTCAAGTTACAGTAGAATAATGTTAGAGTAGGGGACACTCGGACACTCAGTTTTCCTACAGAGAATCTACAGAGCAGGGCTCAGGTTACTGCAGAAGAAGGCGGGAGAGGCTGAGTAACCAGGTTCCCTGCCGAGTGGCCCAGGATCCAGCCTGCAAATCCCCTACCAGGTGGACAGATGTTGACACAGCATTCCTGGTCCGTCCTTCCTCTGCCCTTCACCTGGCAGCCCAGGCCGCTGAGACTGAGCGTGAGGGCCCACTGATGGAGGATTTGGAGCCGAGCCAGCTGGAGAGAAGGAGGAGCTGGCCTGGGTATCCCCAGGGGCACTGAGAGGAGGGGTGTGGCGAGGGAAGTCCACCTGCCTCTTTGCGCTGAAATGCTTTTTGCCCATGGCTGCTTCCCATCGAAGTCAGTGCAAGTTGCTATAGTATTGGTGCCTGGAAACTCCAGACTGGATTTGGGGCCATTTTATTCTCAGATCTCACAGCATGGCTGGCCTGTGCTGCCCTCTCCCAGCCCCCTTGTTCTCTCAGATAATTCTCCTCACCCTGGAGGACTCAGGGTGCCCCAACACTGCTTCTTCAGGAGCCCCCTCATCCGGGCTCCCACAAGGCCCAGGGGCTAAGCCTCATCAGAGTCTGCCTCCCATGTTGTCATCATCTACTTCTGCACCGGTCTCCACCTCTAGCAATGAGCTCCCCTGAGGGGAGAGACGAAGCGAGTTCCCTGTTCTCACCCAGGGCTATGTCTGGCTCGGAGAGTCTGGGGGTTATAATTGCAGCATTTAGAGTCAGATTTGGGTTTGAATCCACTCACTCACCATTTAAAGTTTCTTAGTCCCTCCACTCCTCAATTTCCTCTGCAAAATTGGGACAGGGGAGGTGATCCCGATAAAAACATTAACACTTGGGACAACCAGACATTACATTCTTCCTGAATGGTGCAGGAGGACACGTTTAGCAGCACCCGTGAAATCTTCCTGCCAAAAAATGGAACAGGAGCTTGGCCAGGGCCCTGGATCTACTCACCAGTTTAGAGGAAATAAAGAGGTTGGAGGAACGGGGTGAACATCCCGCACAGGGAATGAGAACTCAGTAAGTCAAATCCAAATGCTCCTGTTCTACAGGACAAATAACCTGATTTCTTCCACAAAAGAAGGGCCCCCAAAAATGCCATGGTTGGGGAGGTGGGTGACCACTGTCAGATGAAAAGGAGACATTTCAACTAAAAGCCACGGTGGACCTCATTTAGATCCTCATACAAACTAAATAAATGTGAAAAGACATTTGTGAGATAACTAAAATGAAAAAATGAAACAAAAATATAGGGAGTGCCTGGCTGGCTTACTTGGAGGAGCGTGCAACTCTTGATCTCAGGGTTGTGAGTTCGAGCCCCATGTTGAGTAGAGAGATTACTTAAATAAACTTTTTTTTTTTTAAAGCACCCATTCAGTATGAGACAACAGTAAGGAATGATCCATTTTAAGATGATAGTGGTATTGTGAGTTTACTGAAGTAAAAATTCCTCAAGTAGGAAATAAAAATGCCAGAGTAGTTATAGGTGAAATAATGTGATATCTGGCATTTGCTTTTGAATCATCTGTTAAACAAAACAAAAGCCTTGGAGGATAGGGGAGAAACTGGGGAAATGTATATAATTATCAAGGTTGGGTGATGGGCCGTGCACATTCATTGTACTGTTATTTTCACATATGTGTGTGAAAAGCACTTACAAAGTTTTGAAGATACCTTTAAAATTATACATTTTACATTTCCTGAACATGTTGGTATATGCCAGGCAATTACCATATACCATATATGTTTTGTGCTTATTATATGTAGTAACATGTGTTTGCATGAATTATCACCTGTATAACCCGGGGCAAGTTGCACAACTGTTCTGTGCTAGACTTGCCTTCATCTTTACAATGAGGTAGTAAAGGGGTATCTGGATGCCTCAGTTTGTTCAGCGACAGACTCTTGATTTCAGCTCAGGTCATGATCTCACAGTTCATGAGTTTGAGCCCTGCGTCAGGCTCCACGCTAACAGTGTGGAGCCTGCTTAGGATTCTCTCTCTCCCTCTGTCTGCCCCTCTCCCACTATTTCTCTCTCTCTCTCTCAAAAGAAATAAACTTAAAAAAAAAAAAAACAGTGGGGGATAAGAAATGAGTTAACACTTGCAAAGCACTCAGTACAGGTTAGCAGTCACCATTAGCTCATTTAATCCACACAGCAGCCCTATGAAGTAGGTCTATCTCATCTCCATTTTTTTAATAAGTTGTTTTAATGTTTATTTACTTTTGAGAGAGAGAGAGAGAACGCGAGTGAGGGAGGGGTAGAGAAAGAGGGAGACGCAGAAACTGAGGCAGGCTCCAGGCTCTGAGCTGTCAGCACAGAGCCCAACGCGGGGTTCAAACTCATGAATTTGAGATCATGACCTGAGCCGAAGTCGGAGATTGAAATGACTGAGCCACCCAGGCAGCTCTCATCTCTGTTTTTACAGACAAGCACCCAGTGATGCACAGAGAAATCAAAACTGAGATCTTACAGGATGGTTGGAGGGATTAAATGGGCCAAAACATAGAAAGCACTTAGCATGAGGCCTACTGCATATCAGCTGTTCAGGAAATGTCAGCTGTGAGTACTAACATGTGCCGGAGGGGACATGACCGGTTGTTCGTTCTTCCAGAACGGGAAACTACTGGCTGAGCGGGACGGAGTGAAGAGGAGAAGTGAGGAGCTGGCCACAGAAAAGGACGCTTTGAAGGTGGAACCTCTTCCTCCTGCCATTTTTACCAGTTTCAGCCACTCTGGCCTAGTGAGAACCGGGGACTTCCATCAAGCCATCAGGCTCCCGGGGCTCCGGGCAGCTTGGCTGAAATCCCTCTCGGGATAGCTGATGTCCAGAGACATCGTGGGAGGTTGAGGAGAGGGGCTCGAGAGAGCTGGGTGGGCCGGGGAGGGCAGCGCCTGCTGAGGCAAGTCCCGGAAGGCCGGACAGATGGACGGGCTCCTTCCTTGGCAGCGGCAGCTCTTTGAGTGTGAACGCCTCATTTGCCAACGAGATGCTGTACTCTCTGAGGTGAGGGGCCCTAGGGTGGTAAGGGGACATTCACCTTCCATATGTGCCTGGCCATCTCCCACCCCTAGTCTAGAAAGGGAGGTCCCGCCAGGATCTCCTCCATGGATATGCAGCCTGGAGAGGTCAGAGGGTTCCCTGCTCCCAACACCAGGCTCACAAGCATGACCCTGCAGGATCTAGAAACCTGGTGCTTTCCCTCAGGCCCTAGCTCTTCCCCCCCCCCCCCCCCCCCCCCCCCCCCCCCCCCCCCCCCCCCCCCCCCCCCCCGAGCTCACCCTTCCAGTCTCCCCTACCCCTTGCCTCAGCGTCTCTCTGGGGCTGGGCCCAGTCTCAGTTACCTTTGGGCCTTCCCAGCGTACTCAACATGCAGAGAGTCTGGCCAAGACCTTGGAGGAGTACAGAACGATGACCCAGGTAGGCGGCTGCCCTCCCACCCTCGGCCCCCTGCCCAGCCCCGCTCTTTTGCCATCTCTGGGATCTGCTGCCTCTCTCTGTTCCTGCCCATCTTTTGTGGAGTCTCTATACCTGGTTTCTTCCATCTCTACTACTGTGTGTCTCTCCCTCTCTGTTTCCATCTCTCTCTCTGCCTTTTCTCTTGTTCTCTGCTCCTTCCTTTCTCTCTCACTCTGTGTATCTCCATCTTGGGTCCACTTTCATTCTTTGTGGGGGTCTTCTCACCGCATCTCCCCTGCTCATCTTGCTCTGTGTCTGCCTTTCTTTGATCTAGTCTGTCCGTCTCCAGGGGTCACTACTCTCTGTTGGTCCCTGGTTGTTATGAGTCTCTTACACCCTGCTTGTCTTTTGCCCCCCTGTGAATCTGTGTCCATCCATGTCTTTTGTTCTGTGCGTCTCCATCTCTGCCTTCCTTTTCTTAATTTTCCTGGCCAGTAGGTTACCTTCTAGGTTCCTGCTGCTCTCTGTCTCTTGTTGGCTTCCTAAGTTTCTTCTCCTTGTCTCTTGGGAATATGTGTCTGGAGAGCTCAAAAAAGTTGGGGAAGTAGAAGTGACGGTAAGGGGAGCCCAAGGCTGGGAGGTAGAGAAGAACAGAGAGGCCAGGGTCCCCCATTGCCCCCTTTGCAGGAACTGAGGCTGGAAATCTCACACCTGGAGGAGCAGCTGAGTCAGATCCATGAGGGGCCGGATGAGTGAGTGGAACGTCAGGGGTGGAGGAGGCAGGAGGAGAGCCCAAAGGCAGGGACCCCCAACCTCCAGCCACAAGGTGGGCAGGGCCACGACCCCAGAGTAGGTAGACCGAGGGGTAGTAGGCAGGCACAGAGAGAGCCTTCCCCCTCCTGACGGTGTCACTAGGCTACCGGAAGGGGCCCAGGTGAGAAGAGCGGGCTGGACCCAGGTGCTGCCCCCATCACTGGGCGTGGAGATCCAGGCCATTCGGCAGGTGGGCCCAGCTCCATGGAAACACCCCAACCCCCGGCCGGCCACGGCTCTGACCCAGCCCCGATTCTCACCCCAGCCCATCTGCCCCCCAGGACCATCTCCGTCCTCAACCCCATCCCTACCCCGACCCAGCCTCACGCCAGTCCCCTGCCCTCCCCCACCCCATGCCTCAGCCCATCTCCATCCCCATCTTCTGCCTTCACCCTGGCATCCCTGGTCTCAGAAATGCCTTCCCTCCCAGAAACAAGAAGTGGCAGACTCCGCTCTCTCCAGCCCTCTCTGTGGAGTGTGGCAGTGGGAGGAGGTCATCATCGAGACTGAGACAGACGAGGAAGCTGAGTTTCCACCTGAAGCCCCAGCTGGGGCAGAGGTGAGCATGGGAGGGGCTCAGAGACCACCGGCGTCCAGGACCTGGGAAAGGGGCCTGGGGCTCCACCTGCCACCAGCTTGTTGCCCATCCCACAGGCAAGTGTTGAAGGGCCTGCTGGACACAGAGCCCAAGCCAGACAGGACACCATCCCTGCCCCCTAGAGACCAGCTCGGGAGTGCAATAGACCGTAAACAAAGCAAACACAAATTGCCTGCTGGCAGTTTTTGTCAGGTGGAAAACACTGTCAGGAATCATTATTTACCAGGGTCTGCAGGGGGAAGGTAAGACGTGAAGCGTTCTTCCAGACACCGGAAAGATACGTTAAGCTTTTACTTTTGGGTTTTTTGGGGGTGGTTTTTGCATGTGTGTTTTCTTGTTGGTTTTATTTTTCTAAAACTTTTACTTTTTGGATGCAAGCACCTTTCGGAAAAGCTTAGCAAGCCCACTGTGAAATCTTGAACTCAACCAATAGCTGTTGTTTTAGGACTTCTGTAATTGCCTGAACAGTATTTCAACACCCTTTGAAACAACTGGCACAGCTCATCTTCAGTGTCCACAACAGAAAAGTGAGATTTTAATCCATTCGTGCCAGAAGTCTTTGTTTTTTGTTTTTTTCCAGAGAAAATATTGCTCACAGCTCTGTAACTGCATCATCTTGAGAATTATACTGCTTCAGAATTACCTGTTTACCATTGGGTTTTTTAATGTTTATTCTTATTTATTTTTGAAAGAGAGAAAGAGAACAGCAGGGGTGAGGCAGAGAGAGAGAGAGGGAGACAGAATCTGAAGCAGGCTCCAAGTCATCAGCACAGAGCCTGACACAGGGCTCCATCTCACAAACTGTGAGATCATGGCCTGAGCTGGAATCGGATGCTTAACCGACTGAGCCACCCAGGTGTGCCTACCATTCTTTGGGTTTTTTTTTTTAATTTTTTAGGTTTATTTATTTTTTTTTAAATTTTTTTTTTTAACGTTTATTTATTTTTGAGACAGAGAGAGACACAGCATGAACGGGGGAGGGGCAGAGAGAGAGGGAGACACAGAATCAGAAGCAAGCTGCAGGCTCTGAGCCATCAGCCCAGAGCCCGACGCGGAGCTCGAACTCGTGGACCGCAAGATCGTGACCTGAGCTGAAGTCGGACGCTTAACCGACTGAGCCACCCAGGCGCCCCATGGGTTTATTTATATTTTTAAGAGAGAGAGAGAGAGAATGAGTGGGGAGGGGCAGAGAGAGAGGGAGAGAGAGAATCCCAAGCAGAGTCTGCACCAGCAGCACAGAGCCTGGTGCAGGGCTCGAACTTATGAACGGAACCATGAGATTGTGACCTGAGCTGAAATCAAGAGTCAAGAGTAAGTCGGGACACTTAACCAACTGAGCTACCCAAGCGCCCCTGTTTACCATTCTTAAAGGAGAAACTTGTCTCTCTGCTCACATTTTCCCTGGATTGAGAGATGCTTCTGTGTTTCCCTTCGACACCAGTGCTGTTTGATTTTTCATTTACCTCCCCCAGCATCTCTGTGAGGTAGACATCCTCATCCCTCATCCTGTCACGTATGGGAAACTGAGGCTCAGATAGGTCACACATCCCCAGTCACACAGCCTATGGGCAGCAGAGTCACAGCCCTCAGAGGAGGTGTAAGTTAGAGTGGATTCTGCTGTGAGCTCTCTGATGCCCCATCCAGGGGGACACGGACCCAGGCTTCTGGCTGCCACCTGCTCTGGGTCCTGGAGCTACCACGTGGAGCCACTTGGAGCCAGAGGGAGAGATTGTGCAGAGCGGCCATCCTAATGCAGGACGATGGGTGTGCAGAGGTGGGCGGCAGGCCCTGAGGGAGCCCAGCGAAGGGGGCACCTGTGTCAAGTGGGAGACTGGAGAGGTGTCACAGGGAAACTGACACTTGAGCTTATTTGGGGAAAACTAGAGGGAGAAGTGGTGTGAGGAAAGAGATGCCTTCCTGGCAACACAAAAGCATATAACATGCTCGGAAAGCAGAGGGAGTTGAGGTGTCTAGTGAGCCGGGAGGCCATATCACGACAGGGATTCCCTGAACATCAGGCTGGGAGACTCTACTTTTCTCCATCGAGCCACAGGAGCCACAGGAGGCACAGGAGGGCTGAGAGCGGGGAGGGACGAGGTCAGCTCTGAATGTAGAAAGACCCCTTGCAGGCCACATGGATTCTGATTAGAGGCCAGGAGGCCAGGGAGGAGGCTGGGGCAAGAGTCCAGAGGATGAAGTCTGAGCCAGGCCAGGGCCCTGGGCTGGAGAAAGAGGAATGATGGGCAGAGAAAAGTAGGGCGGGGGGGACACAGCTGCAGGCAAGTGGGCTGGGCACGCAGAGTGCTGGGAAGGGAGAAGCCAGAAAGATGCCAAACTTCTACTGCGTCCTAGTGAGATGCAGATCCCGAGGGGCGTTTGGGGGGCTACCTGAGGTCAATGGGTACACAAGGCTGGAGCTCAGGAATGTATTTAGAAAACAATATCAAGTCGGTGGTCCGGGCCACACACGGAGATGTCTCCGGAGAAAACAGGACCTGGATCCTGAAGAACAGCTGTGGAGCTGCCCAAGACCAGGAACCTGGGAGGGAAAGGGGATCTGAAGGGAAACACTGAGCCTCCTTTGGGTCCATGTGAGTGTGAGAAGTTTGTGGGAGTACGAGAGGTTTGGGGGACCCGGACTCCTGGGTCCTGAATAGAAAGGGGTCTAGAACAACTCTCCCGCTTCTGGCTTCTGCTCTGAGAGGGATGCAGAGCCAGCCTCAGTGACAGAGCCCAAGAGGAGGGCAGGTCCTAGATGCAGGCGGTGAATTCTTTTTTTTTTTTTT